TTATTTCAACAAAATTTTACAACTTTTTTTTCTTATTTTCACAAAATCCTTTCTTGGTAAATCAGTTTTATCAACTTAAAAAAACCTTCTCACGGTTACCGTAAGAAAAAAACCTACGGCTTGTTGCATCCAAGGCCAATACCAAGGAAACTCCTGCCGAAAGACATTTGAGCATTTGCAGAGAGAAGGCACTAACCTTCAAGCAGATCAGCTTTATACTTTACGTTCTGCTTTTGGGCGTTCAATCCAGTGGGTGGGGCTGGGGTCGCAGCAGACTGCATTTCCACCACCGCGGACAGTTGCTCCTGTGGGTCTTGAGGCTGAGAACTGATGGAATTTTCTTCACGGCGGATGATAAAGTTGTCGAGACCCAGTTCTGTGCACACAGCGGCCTGTGTGTACTTATTAACCAGGGAGTTCTTCAAGAGGGACAGGTGACCTTCATGGTGACGAGGAAAGTGACGAAACAGGTAGTCGGTGGATACGTACTTGAGGAGGGAGTCACCCAAAAACTCCAAGCGTTGGTTATCGCCTCTAGATTAGAAAAAAATGCAACTGCATGGGAAGTTCATGCAAGAAAGCATTAAATGCTTCAGATTTAAGAGCTGACGCAAGTCAATCAGGACCTACGACAAGACTAGCTTGTGGGTTGCACAGTCAATCACCGCAAGGCGAATAAAAAAAACCACTGTGATAAGAGGACTAAGTGAGAAGTTTAGTAAATTTATGCGTAAAATAAAAGGGCCTGCAATCTTTATGAGCACTGATCGAACTTTACTTGATATCGCGTTTAATTTTCAATTTTTAAATCTTGTAATTTTGCTTCAAAATACAGAATCTTTGTTACATAAGGCAAGTTCCTTAGTCGCGAATATTTGAGAAACAATCGATGGTTATCTCGTTTCACATAGTTTTTGTCGGCAACAATGCAAAACTTACGAGCATTAGACTAATGGAATAATCACAGGAGTTTCTTAAACAAAACTTTGAAACCACATTCTGCATGTGATCTTCAGCCCACAGAAAGCAAAACTTTACTGAAATGTCATACTCCCATGCATGAAAGAAATTGGTGTTTTCACACCCACCTATCCGAAGGAACGCTTAAATATTTCAGCCGATATATCATGATTTTCAACAAATGTCTTAATTTCATATCCAAAGGCGGACATGAGGTCCTTAAAGTCGACAGTGTGTTAATTAAGGAGAGTGTCTAAGAAAATAAAAAAATTCCAATCGTGAGTTGACAATCAACCATGGCCGCCAGATAATAGGCCTGTGCAACTTGGCTCAGCTGTTTGACGAGCGAGGCCAACAAATACTTGAAAAAATTCATTAATTGCCGTGTATGAAAATTGACGAAATCCAAGTAGTCCTCTCTTCAAGTTAGAGTGGCAGCCAAGGGAACGAAACTAATTGCGAGTACCCTTTGCCGCCAGGAAAAAAAACTGGCTTGGGAAACACGAAGCACAATCTTATAAGTCGCAAAGAAAGGAAATAATGGATGCAATTCATCTAATAAATATCAAGCGCCGGATGGAAGAAGAGGTCCTACAGTGTGAAGAGGTTGAATCCGGTCTTTCGAACCGTCAGTGCTCGAGCCAACACGCGAATGTGCCTGAACTTGATTCCCAGTTGATCCTCCAAACGAGTCAATTTCTGAGTGGCAAAATAAAATACGAATCTCACAAACATGCTAAGCCGCACTAAAGTAAATGGAGGGTTAAAATTTAAAAAATGTCTACAGTGAATTTCTACCGATACATACTTTTTGGAAGAAACTACAGTTAAAAAAGTTAAAACGCGTAGAGTTGATATTGTGTTAAGCGAGCCACCCCAGTGTTAACTGCCTTCACAACAACAAATTAATCAATTCTACCAGACGAAAAACATGCACGTCCAAATAAATAAATGTTTGGTAGACCATAGTCTCCATGCAAAGTCGTGATCGAAATTGGACTTGGTAGTTTAGCATACATTTGTTCAGGTTATTTTGATCTAATGTGTGTGTTTGATCCTGAGGAAGATCTTTAGTAGGGAAAACTGCCTGTTTAGTTCAGTTTATTTAAGGCGAAAATTTGGCAAAATTAGAGGTTGTCTGATATCGAACAGATTAAGTATTTAGTATGACAGATCCAAACCCTTTATTTTTATGTGCTGTAAACAATGTAAACAAGAAAAATATATCCCTTTCAGGACCGGAATATACAGCCTTATGCTGAGGAAAATCACATAAAGCCAAGTTTAAGGAATCACATTGTTTTTCAGAAACAAGGAAAATTTTCATTAATTATTTGTTGTCAATGTCTGAACTGTTTTGTCACAATATGCGGTAAAAAAAGTGTCGATCGTATTTTGTTTTACCGCACCGACGATTTGGGATGAAAACCAAAAATGCATGTATTTCATCGCGTACATGAAGGTGAACAACGAGTTTTTTTTTAATCTAAAGCCTCTGGCAAGATACTTTTTGTGAAATATTATTTTCCGTTTACGCGTAATTTATAAACGGAATAGACGGAAGATTAACAGTTATCCCAAAGCCTTAGTATATATTCAGCCAGTCTTTTTTGCATTTGCAGTCTTAAAACGAGACCTCAAGTTAATCATATATGGTGAAAAATACTTTAATATAAAGAGTGAAGTGGGTTCCTTCGTTTTCAGCCAAAAGTATGTCATTTATTTTCAAATAAATTTAAAAAATTCTCTATTTTCATCTAGGAAAAAAGCAGCATGCAACGACATTCGTCAGCTGAAAAGCTAACTAAAGTGCTTTTTAAAGAGGTACCTATGATAGGTTTCTAAATTGATAAATTATTTATAATGTATCAAATATCAGATTTCTGTTGAGAACGTCCCTTTTTTCTCGACAATGAGTTTTGGTATTTTGCATTGTTTAGAAATATGGTCCACGTGGCCATCTTCATAAGAACTAAAATTCAAAAATTCACGTTTTTGAAAATGCTTTTAGGAAATATATTATTTTAAGCGTTTTAATATAAACTTCGAACAAAATCTTTATTTGTGGAATAAAGCTTGAAAACACTGGGAGACGTCGAAAATTTGCTAGAATTGAAAGGATGATCTGAAACTAATTGTAAGCCAATACCTAACATATGCATAAAGAAATTTGACGAAAGAAAAAATTTTTGGTGCAAAGGAAATGGTATGGTTATGACAATTGTATTTACATTTGTTGGCCTAATTTATAGCTATTTTTTCAAATCTGCAGAACTAGAGTATTCCTTAGAACATTTTTTTTCTTAACACACAATTAGTATTTTTTATATTTCTTTTAAGCTACAAATTCAGCTGATATTGTTCAGTATTATTTCAACGTTTTCGTACATGCGGCAGTGTCCGTTTGCTAATTATTAGTAACCCTTCTCAAATTTCGGTATTTTGCATGAGGTTAGCCCGCACTTAAAACTTACACGTCAGCCAAGTCTTAAATTAGAAGGATAGTTTAGAATATCAACGGATCGGGATCGACTTGTGGCGCTAACTGGATGGACAAACGCACACTGCAGCTCTAAAATTAGAGAAAACCCCCTGCAAGAGTATAGACTATCAAAAACGTCCAACTACTAAGCTGTCCGAAGACAACGTCTGTTAAGCTGTCGAGCATAGAATCCTCAAATTAGTATCCCATCCTGCAACCTCCGCTAAAACTAAAATTGTATCTGGTGCCGAAGGCCAAAATAGGGCACGGGGGTGGCTAGTTCGACATCAGATGTGCCTCAGTAAGGGAGAGCCTGTATAACAAGACTAGACCGACGAGAGGCATCCTTCAAGTGACTGATAGTTGTGATGTCCAAGTCCAAGGACTGCAGTTTAAAGTTTGCCGCGTAAAAGGAGGAAAGTGGTCGCGGAGGGCTCATCGACCGCGTTACGGAAAACACTCGTCCCGATGGGGCTTGGAACTGTAGAGCTCTGTTGTGGTAAATATATTATAGGCAGAATAGCATAAGCGTAAAAGACAAAGGAGACTGGAACGGTCATTTCTGGCGTATTAACCATCATCAGCCAGCCATATCCAAACCCGGGTGTTGTAGTAAAACGATAGAAGTAAACGGTGGAAGCCAGCAGAGTCGGCGGAGGCCCTGTACATCATTTTTCTTAGCGGAGTGATGAAACTTTAGAAGGTTGAGTTCGTTTCAATCACCCAACTTGTGGTTATGCAAACTCGCCGCTAAAAACCCAAAGCTAAGGATTGACCAGCATAAACAGGAGGCAGAAATATCAGATGCTTATGGTCGGCTGTCAAATGCACTGAAAACTGTGACCTGTGACACGCTGGCTCCCACAGACAATCAAAGCGTCATGCACGGATACTTCTAAACGAGTTCAGTAGTGCACAAATTCAATTATTTGCAAACGCCCCAAATCAGGAAGTACAAAATCAAACAGAGTTGTAACGCAAACGTTTAAGAGTGGAAAGATATCATGTGCGTTTTACGATTTTCCATACAAATGAGACGCAATTAAAATTTCTACTCCCTGCGGACGATAAAAACCCCAG